GTTTTTTTTGTTTGTTTAGTTTTTTTGAGGTTTTGAATGCAGTGACGCTGTTCCTCTCAGAGAAACATAAGGACTATCCTGATATTACATGATCCCCAGTGGATTTCGGATTAAATGTGGATCTGCAAGGGAAGTTAAAGATGCAGCCTGAAAAGGATTTTTAGGAGAAACATCTGAGACACTGTTGAGACTAAAATGAGAAATACATGAGAATCACAACTAAGTTTCCTGAGGTTAGAAAAAGCAACCACTGAGCAATAAAATATTCCTATATTGGAGTCTTGATAGAGATTACAGCAAGACAATAAAGAGATATTCTATGTTTCTTCCACCACATTCTCTGTTTTGACTATTCTTTTTTTTCTCAAATATTTCTCATGTCTCATTTGTGTCTACTGCCATTTCTCCTAAGGAATTTTAGGATAAACATCTGAAATGCTGTTGATACTAAAATTAGAGATATATGAGAATCTCATCTAAGTCTCCTGAGCTTAGGAAATGCAACCACTGAGCAATAAATGTTTCCTATGGGATGAGCCCTACTTCAGAGGAAGATCTCCAGTACGTTCCAGTAACAGCCATCGCGGACCGCAAGGGAGCCCCAGGCCAAGTTATCATCAGCAGCAAGGCTATGAAAGACCCTTATTTTATGACAAAGTTGAGATATCCGCTTTAGCCCTCAGCTGCATTTGATGTCTCAGTGACTTCTCAACCCAACTACATGCGTCAATCAAAGGATGACAGCAGCCCAGGCGGGAACCAAGATTGACAGAGGGGTGAGCAGTATTACAGGTACACTTCACCGAACATCAGCGGTCGGAAAACAAATGGTAGCTGGAGATTAGGGCCAATCTTCAATTCAACTGTCAGTGGCCCATAACAACAACACAGTGACATCTGTGGACTACACAGCCTGGACACCATACATAAAAGGACTCATCGAGGACCAAGAAGTCAGTGTTTTCCTTGACATTGGCGCTGGTTTGTCGCTCATTAGTGAAGCCTTACGTCAGCGCATCCCTGCACTGAAACATCGCCCCTTACTGAAAAGTTTCCAGGTGGCGCACACACTGACTGGACAACATAAGACATTTTAGGCTCATTACCTCTCACATTACGTCTTGGGTCACACATATTCAGTATGAACATGTATGTTGTAAGAGACTCTAGACAGGATGCCCTTCTTGGTTGGGACTTTTTCAAAACACATGGTGCTTCAATTGACACAGCCTCTGGTACTTTTATGTTCAAGAATGACAAAATTTCTCTTCTCAGTTCCTCACATGCATTGCCTTTTTGCTGTAATGTGTTCTTGCACTCACAGGTCTCAGTCCTGCCCTTGACAGAGATTGTTGTTCCTGCCTCAGTAGCATGTGCCTCAGAAACAAGTCAGCTCCATGGTTTTCAAGGTATTCTAGAACCGAATGTGACAGTTGACAAAGATTTAGCTGTTGCTCGTACAGTAGCTTCTCTAATTTTTAAAATGGGCTCACTGTACTGTAGTTCATCTACTAAATCCTACACACCAAGACATTGAGCTGCCAAAACAGACCCATTTAGCTCAATTATACACTGTGCGTAACATGCCTTCTGATTTCTATAGGCCTGTGGATAGTCTTGTGGCTCAGGTAACCCCTTCGTGCCAAATACCTGATGTTCACATGGGTACTGATAATCGTACTCCCAATGAGGTAGAAGTAGTTAACTCCCTCCTATGAGAGAACTGTAATGACTTTAGCACTACCCCTACAGATCTAGGTAGAACTGATTTAATTTAGCATAGCATACACACATCCTCTACGTCCCTTCTGCGTCAGAGAGCATACTGCACATCTCCTGTCCTACGAAAGGAAATCCATAACCAAGTACAGAAACTTCTTGATGCTGACTTAATTGAGTCTAGTCATAGCCCATGGGCCTCGCCAGTGATACTTGTCCGTAAGAAGGATGGATCTTACAGATTTTGTATCGATTATAGACATTTGAACTTGATTACTATCAAAGATGCACACCCAATTCCACGTGTAGATTACAGTTTGGACGCCCTTTCTGGAGCCACCTTGTTGAGCACTCTAGATTTGTCAAGTGGCTACTGGAAGATTCAAATGGATGATGCTAGCAAGGAGAAAACTGCCTTTACTACAGGTGATTCCCTCTATCATTTTAAGGTCATGCCAATGGGCCTTACTAATGCCACCTTTGACAGAGAATAGTGGGCTATTGTTTGGTCCGTTAGACATTTTTCACACTACTTGCAAGGGTGCCCTTTTGTGATTGTTACAGATCATCACCCCTTGTTAGGTTTAAAGAAAATGCCTATCGATCGAGATCCAACAGGACGTAGGGCATGTTGGGCACTGGAGCTTGATGTGTATAATTGGGTCATCAAACACAGGAATGGTGCAAGGCACACAAATGCAGACTCACTATCTAGACGCCCAACTCAAAGTTATACCACTCCTCAGCCTACGTCTGATCCCTCAATGCCAGGCAAGCCAGAAAATCCTTTAGTCACAGCCCCTCTTACTGCTCATTCTGTCATAGACCTTTCTCAGACTTTGGCAGTCAATATTGCACAGTGTCAAAAAGACGATGTCACACTGAGGACAGTGAGTGAGTGGTTGGAAGACGGAAGGAGACCTCCAGCTTGGGTTTGAAAGAAAGGTTCAGCAGAGCTCAAAGTGTACTGGAGACAATTTGATAGACTGCATTTGCAGGATGGGAAAATCTACCGTTTTGCCTGTAACAAACCAAAAGAGTCACCTACTCTTCATGTAGTCATTCCCAGCAAAGCTGTTCCCCAGGTGTAACAGTTTTTACATGGACATTCCATTGTAGGTCACCTTGGTCATTAAAAGGCACTTGCAAGAGCCAGAGAGCATTTCTACTGGCCATACATGGCTAGAGACATAAAGAACTACTGTGTGTCCCATGCCAGTCTAGATCTATGCCAGTCCCACATCATGTAGCTCCCCTGCAGACTATTCATGCCAGTTGTCCTTTTGAAAAGGTGGCAGTTGACATTACCGAGCTTCCTGTGTCACCATGAGGCCATAAATATGTCCTTGTTCTCCAAGACTATTTTACCAAGTATGTGAATTTGTACCCTATGAGAGACAAAAGAGCTGTAACGGTTGCACAATGTATTTTTGAACAGTATGTCACAGAGCATGGTGTTCCTGAATGCCTTCATACAGATCAAGGCCATCAGTTTAAGGCAGATTTAATCAAGGAGTTGTGTTCCAAGTTGGGTGTCACCAATACTAGGACTTATCCTTATCATCCTGAGGGAGATGGTTTAATTGAAAGATTCAATCCCACCCTGAAAGATCAGTTAAGTAAATGTCTATATCAGCATCCTTTCCCACATTTTGATGGGAATCACGAGGTCACCCGGAGCAGCTAAGAAAAAGTTCAGAAATAGTGTAAAAGATGCCAACATTTGCAGCAATTTTGCCTCATTTTGCCTAATTGCCAATTTATTATATTTGCAGATTTCAAGATGAAGCTAGACCATGGGGTCCCGATCTAAACTCACCATCTCTTAAGTGGAAGAATGTAATTGTATCTAGAAAATGCTTTAGACCACAACAACTACAATCTCAAAACTCTGGCCATTTGATTATACCTAGAATATCAAAATCAAAACTATGGAACAATCTATCTAGCATTGTTCAGGAGGCAGACACAATCTGTCAGTTTAAATCTCTCTAACCTTGCAAAAACATAACACACTATCACATTTCTATAATTCAAATCCTTTGAAGGATTGTTAGGCTGTATTAATTACGTCAACCGGAACCAGGAACACTTCCTATAACACCCAATGTACTTGCTACATTGTAAGAAGAATGGCATCTGTGTTAACTTTAGTCTCTATCATTTTTATTACAAGGTCACCGTAGCCACCCAGATCCAGTCCATATCCAGATCAGATGGTCACTGCAGTTATCTGGATCCATTCTGTATCTAGTCTAGATCGTGGATCAGCACCTAGAGGCAACCTCTATAGCCCTGAATGTCAGAGGAGACCATGTCAACTAGACAAGCCCTAGGGACAGATCCCCAGCGAAGACCTTGTCAGCTATCAGCACAAGACCACGAGAACCAGACGAGTCTTCTGCTCAATATATCTTGTGTTGCAGCCAGGAATTAAACACACCATGCTGGTTTTATCTGGCCAGAGGAGAACTGGCCCCCCGACTGAGCCTGGTGTCTCCCAAGGTATTTTCTCCATTTCTGTCACCAATGGAGTTTTGGTTGCATGCCACTGTCGCCTTTGGCTTACTTGGTTGGGGACACAATTTCTGACAACATTGTTGACTTGATTGCACAGACATTATTGGAAGAGAACTGAACTGAGCTGTACAATGACATCTGTGAATCAACAATGAACTGACTTTAACTGAAAAAACTTTTCTATTGTTCTCTTGTATTATCAACACACCTTTTTCCTGTTTAACACTGTAAATCTACTTTGACACAATCTGTATTGTATAAAACGCTATATAAATAATGGTGACTTGACTTGACATCAGTTCTGAAGTTGTATTTAATTTGCTATATGAATTCAAGATTCCCCAGAGCCTGGAAAAATTCATCACCTTAATGCACATTGAAAACATGCTTGTTCATGTTTTCACAACAATTAGAGTAGTTGAAAAAGTAAGTAAGTAAGTAAGTAAATAAATAAATAAGTAAATAAATTCATTTTAAAAGGTAGCATGAAAAGAATAATTACAGGTCTATCTTGGCTACTAGCAGACATGCAGTATCCAGAGCAACGTACGGGAAACTCAGGACAAAGAGTGTTGGAGTGACTTGCTCAGTAGTGATGAATGAGGGGAATGGTATTTACTCTTTTAATTTATGAGTTATCATTTATTAAAACAAAATTCTGACCTTGTTTTAGCATGCCAAATCTTTAATCATTTGGCTACCGCAATCCTAACACTTTATGCCAGTGTGCAAAATCCTTATCTTAATCTTATCTTTCTTACTTTGAAGTACATTGGCTCCACTTTGTATTTGAGTGCATGTGCTTTTCCCACTAGCCCCAGAACAGATGAAACCTTCTCTGGGTCATGAAGGTTCTCCACAACTGTGTTGATGGCGTTCATGACACGGCGGGCATGTTTTCTCAACTGAGAGCTCTTCTCCATCTCCTCTGGATCTTCCATGTCCTGGAACTGACTGAAGTACTGCTTTGCTGAGGGGAAGTTCACAAAGAATCTGAGGAACACAGAAAAAGAAAACAGCTAATATTGCAACCAGAATTTAGTGAACTTCCAAGTGAACATTTCAGTGGAAAGATTTCAGTGGAGTTTTCTTATCTAGCAGTATTAGAAACTGTGGCTTACATACTTTTCATAAAAGACAAAATGCATTATAATTGCTTTAATATTGTGCCTTTAAAAGGGATAGTGTTTACTGATACACTATCCTAGCTCTCCTAAATCTCTCCCTAATTCGATGAGGCACACCCACAAACACAGCATCCTGCTCTGACCAATCAGCATCCAGAAATCAGCACACAAGCCATTCCCCGACACTCACAGAGACTGTAGGCAAGTTCATCGGGATGTGGAGACAGATGCAAAAGATTTCAGCAGCAACTTCGATGCGGTGTTGCACACACACACACACACACACACACACACATTGTGTTTCAATGTTTTATGGGGACATTCCATAGGCATAATGGTTTTTCTATTGTACAAACTGTATTTTCTGTCACCCTACCCGAACCCTACATCTAAACCTAACACTCCCAGGAAACTTTCAGTATCTTTAGATTTTCAAAAAACTTAATTCTGTAGGATGTATAAGCTTGTTTTCCCATGGGGACCTCTATGTAGGTCCCCAAGGTGACACGAGTCCCCATGAGTCAGTATGTATTAAGGTTTCAGTCCCCACTGGGATCTAAAAACACACGCACACGCACACGCACACACACACACACATCAATACACCTACAAACTAAGTTAGTTGAGTGTGAATGGTACAATATTAGAGTTATTCCCAGAAATTACGACAGTTTTCTTGCAGTCTCTAACTGGACATCCTTTGGTGGGTCAGTACCAAGAGCTAGCAAATTATTTTAAATTTGTTACAAAGGTATAGAAGATTCTACACCATGCAGAGAATGAGGCAACTGTGCAACTCAGGATTAGACATTTTAAGGAGGGAGAATAAGGATATTAGCAAAGCTCATGACAACCTGCTATGTACTCTGCAGATGTTACAACATGAAAGGGTGCTTAGGACAGGACCTTTCTCAGCTAAAACAACAAGTGAAGCAGCTAAAAATTCAGTTGGAGCAGTAACATCCACCACGCATCCAGCTGCAAGCACAATCTGATTAAATGAGCTTCAGGCCTATACCAGCTCCATATCTAATGTCCCATAGGGAGCAACAGACTGAAGACAACTAATTAAGCCCTCTGCAGCACCCAACCCCAGTAGCTCCTGTCAGTATTGTTGGAACACAGTTCTACTACTACTTTATGCCACAATGATCTCATAGATCAGAGGTGCCCTAACAGAGTCTGTAAACTGTCTGTATTGGGTCCCCTATGACTCTGCCAGGCACTACCAAACGCCACGTCAGTCAGAATCAGAAAGAGCGTTATTGCCAAGTGTGCTTACACACACAAGGAATTTGTCTTGGTGACAGAAGCTTCCAGTACACAGACAGGTTGACAAGTTACAAGACACAGATAACAAAATAAAAAGAAGCGAGTAGAAATAAATATGTAAAAACGGTAACACTTTAGAATAGGGAACACATATTCACTATTAACTAAGAGTTTTCCCTGAACAAACTCCTAATTTGTTAATAGTTAGTGAGGTAGTTGTTAAGTTTAGGTATGAGGTAGATTAAGGTATCTAAAATACGGTCATGCAGAATAATGCATTAATATGTGCTTTATAAGTAGTAATAAACAGCCAATATGCTAGTAATATGCATGTTAATAAGCAACTAATTAATAGTGAGAATTGATCCTTCAAATAAAGTGTTACCGTAAAAACAATACACAATAGACAAAAATACAGTTGACAGTATATTGTATGTACAGATGTACGATATACATACTGTATATAAATTATATAAAGTATATAAATTATGCAAGTGAATGGGGATAGATGTTAGATATATTAAAACAATAACATACATATAATAAATATAAGTATAGATAGTTGGGTATCGCACATGTTTTATTGCACAGTGGGGAGAATATTTAAATGTTCATGAGGTAGATGGCCTGAGGGAAGAAACTTTTGGTAACACTTTCTATGAAGCCCGTATTTATAATACATTATAAGGGTATTCTTAAGGCATTGTAATGAATGCATAATGCATTATAAAAAAACGTATAATATGTTATATCAACTCATGAATAATCATAACAACAGTTATAATACATCATAATACTTACGTATTTGTGGTTATAAGTTTAAGAGTATGATTATTTATAACACACAATGAACACCATATTAAATCTACTTTTCCAGAATAATGGACTGTATCATATCTTTACATTGTTTATTTAAGATCTGCACAGTATCTTACTACAGCTTGTGAGTGGTTAGATGTTGAGTGTTATTTGAGTGTTTCCTGTGGAGCTAATGACCGCTTTAAGTAAAGTAGCATAAGAAAAATGGCAAGATATGAGACTTATAATACATTATAACTATGAGAAATATAATCCATTGTAAAAGTGGATGCAACGTGTTCATTGTGTTATAAATCATCATACTCTTAAAAGCTATAACCACAAATAAGTAAATATTATAATATATTAAAACTGTTCTTATGAATATTCATGAGATGATACAACATATTATAAGGTTTTTTATAATGCATTATGCATTCATTATAATGCCTTAAGAATACCCTTATAATGTATTATAAATACGGGCTTCGTAGAAAGTGTTACCAAACTTTTCCTATGTCTGGCTGCTTTGGTGCTCAGATGTCAACAGAGTGCAACCTAAAAATGCGCTGCAGACAGTGCAGCAACCGACTACTCATAGCCGTGGACAACATCAGTCTTGGGAGTCCAGAGAATCCAAAGTCTGCTCGAGATGAGGCTGCATGAAACAACCTCCTTTCTGCTCAACACCAGGAATGGGATTTTTCTGGAAACCAAAACAGTAAGGGCTGAGTTTATGGTGTTGAGCAATATGCACTCCTCATTTGTGTGTCAAGAACACTGCAGAACTCAGAGCACCTAAAGAGGCAGTCTTATTGCAGCTGAAAGCCACTAAAAGGAGACTGGCCAAAAACCCACAATAAGCAGACGCTTATATTGTTGAAATTTCAAAACTGAAATGAGCAGATGGTGTTAGGAAACTGCAACAGAATGTTGCGACAGACCTTCCTACTCCTGGCACATCCCACATAACATGGTGCAGCACAATGGGAAAAACAGGATAGTTTTAAATTGCTTCCTCTAATATTGAGAAACAAAAAGAACAAAATCCGAATGAGCTTCTCCTCCCTGGACCAGTGTTGGGGCCATCTCTGCTTTCAGCTGCTGTCAGCAGTGACATCAAGGGAATGTTCTACCAAGTAAGATTGCTCCCAGAAAACAGATTGATATGCTTCCTCTTAAGAGATCTCCAAATACAAGAACAACCTAGTGAGTTCTCCCCTTCAGCACCACATAATGCTGCATAATTTTTGCACTACAGAAACATGGTACAACAGACATATAAGAATCCACTCTGGGGCTCCTCTGGAATCATCGTACCAACACCATCTCCTAATATCATGCAGCGGAACGTACTGAAGTTACTATGTGTAACATATACAGAATTCAGAACCTGTTCGTCACGAGAATAATGAGGACTCAAGAGCGAAGGCAGGTAAAAGCAGATAGTTTATTAGAAAAGGTAACGTAGGCAGTCGATTCCGTTCTCAGTGACAGGACCAACACACACGTACTGCAGGATGACTGGGCAGAGAACAGGAAAGAAGCACGAGGCATGACTTTGACTAGACAAGACTTGACAAAATGACAGATAGCTGAGAATGCACAGACACTTGGTGTCATTCAGTGGGCAGGAGAGCCAACAATAAGAAAATCACGCTAACCCCTTAACTGTCACCCCCCATTTTTTACAGACATAAGTTTGGTATCTTTTTAAAGAAGAAAATCGGCAGATTATCGCAAAAGTGGAATTTCTAAAAAAATATATGATTTATGATGATTACTAAAAGATTTGATAGAGAAAAAGGACAACAACAAAAAAGAGTGCCAAGCGTCCCACAGGTGGGACGGTGACAGTTAAGGGGCTAAAGAGAGAACAGGTGTGGGATAATCAGCGTGAGTGCCAAACGCAATAGCGGACAGCTGAGCCTAAGTAGCAGTAATGAGGGGAGAGAGGGAAATGAGAGGAAGAATCAAACCTGGCTCATGACACTGTTAGGTTACCTCATTCCTTACACAACTCAAGGCAAAATCATTGTGCACAGTCGTGGCCAAAAGTTTTGGCAGTGACATAAATTTTGTGCTTTGCAAAGTTTGCAGCTTAAACTGTTGTGGTGTTCATTCACATTGTTTCTAGAAGATAGTGTAGAGTGATCAGATGCATTTTAAATAATTGCTAAAAGCTTCATTGGCCAAAAAAATTAAATTTTCACAAAAATTAAAAAAAATTTAAATCACTGTTTTTTGATCCTGACACCAAATTGCTTATTAGCATGCATGTTACTAAAATATTAGCCATTTATTAGTACTAATTAAGCACATATTAATGCCTTATTCTACATTACCTTATTCTACATCCCTAATCCTACTCAATACTTAAACTTAACAACTACCTTACTAACTATTAATAAGCAGCAAATTAGGAATTTATTGAGGGAAAATTAATAATAGTGAATAAGTGTTCCCTATTCTAAAGTGTTACCAGACCAGCTAACATTAATTGACTAATCATATCAGCATGATTGTTCGGAGAAGAAAAGGTGAATGCTACCATGAGTCCTGTGTTGTGCCAACAGTGAAGAATCCTGAGACCATCCATGTGTGGGGTTGCTTCTCAGCCAAGGGAGTGGGCTCTCTCAAAATTCTACCCAAAAACACTGCCATGAATAAAGAATGCTATCAAAACGTCCTGCAAGAGCGACTTACCAGAGCGAATTGCAGAGGTTATGAAGAACAAGGGTCAACACTTTAAATATTGACTCATATTTTTTTGCCAATAAAAGTCTTTAAAGCTTA